GATGCGGAGTTCGCGAATGGAAGCAAAATTTTGCGAACGGTGCTGTTTGTGAACCGAATTGTTCATGAACAGAAGCGTTCGTGACCTGAGGTACCACTGTATATTATTCTTATTAGTTAATTTTAATATGGTTATTTATATTTTTATTGTTGTTACTGTTTTGGATTTTAATTGTGAACCACCCAGAGTTGCCCTCTTGGGGAGATGGGTGACATATAAATTTAATAAATAAATAAATTATAAGAGAGTGTTATACTAAAGACTGTACAGGAGTTTAGGGACCAGTTCACATGACATTTCTTCTCCCATTACTGTTGCATTTACTGTTGTACATTAGCAGCATATAACACACGATGGCTGGATCTTTCATTAGCCAGCCATTTTAATGACCTCTCAGATGGTTTGGCCAGGGGGAGATGAAAATCAGGACAACCACAGAGATAAATAAGAGATCCCAACTTCACAAGGTCTTTCTGCAATTTCATCTCAATCAGATTTGGAATGACAATTAACTCTGGGAAAGGAATTTCAACAAGATTGTGGGGGTCTTAGTTGATTGGATAGAATTAATTTAATTCCAAATAAGACAAAGTCTGTTTGGAGTTAAATCCAACTCCTGCAGAGTTAATGCACTAAGTAAATTACCTCCATTTGGAAATTTTCAGAATATGCTTATTCCTTCTTGACCCAGTCAAGGATGTCATGTGAATAGTGTTATTAAGTGAAAATGATTAATCATTTGAATGTTTAATATTTTTTACAATTTGTTATTTAGGTAACAGATATGGGTACAGGAGTTAACATTAATAAAAATAATGAAAATATTTTTTTAGTCAATTGCTTTATTCATATTTTTTCCTTCAGATAGGGGAGGGAAAGCGAGTTACTCTGTGCTTCTATCAATCAACAAAATTTGCATCAATGAAGGGTTATATTACATACATATTAGCAATGCTATATTGCTAATCCCTGCTTTTGATGACATTAATTGATCAATATGAATGTCACCATTTATAGAATTATCTAAAAATAATGTAATTCTTAGAAATTCATACCCCAGTATGATCTGGACTAACTATATTTCTGTTTTTTCTGATTAAAAAGAGGATGAAAACAATAGTTACTTTTTGGATAAAAACTATCTTTGAGGTGGAATTCTACTTTTGTTTTTGCAGTTGTTCTTAGACGCCTTTAAGATATGCCATAATCCAGTTCAATCAGAGTTGATATTGTTGATCTAATCTCATGTGCACCATGAATTCAAATCCACACATCTAAACATGGAATAACACTGAGAATATTACAATATAGTGTGGCATAAAGCACTCTGAATTCTCTCTAATGCATAAGTGCATAAGTACATTTTATTTCTTCAGTGTTTGATGACTTCCGGAATGCACAATATATATTACTTAAAGTGCCCAGAATCTCAGTGTTAAATAATATTTGTATTATAGGTTTCTTTTCCATATTATATTATTTCAGCCAATTAGAGCCATAACATATAATGTTTCACTGAGCCATTAGTAATGTTATTTCCATAATTAATGTATAGAAATGTCATATTTACAAATAGGTTTCCTGTTTCCAGGATTTACAGTATTGACTAAGTTTAGAATCCTACAAAGGAAGAGTATCTAAACATATTGCATTTCCTTGCATGGATATTCAATCTGATTAAAGCAAACTATTTTTCTATTACGTAGTAATCAATGCTAAACAGAGTCGTAATTGACTATGATGTTTCAGAATGAGCTTTAAATAAAGTTAAATTCTTTTACTAGCTAATCTATATTTTAATTTCATGAATATAACAGGGCAGAAATGTATAAACAAGAGCCTTTTGTACTAATTACTATTATTAGACAATAATAACACATTTCTATAATATCATACATACACTGTATCTTTACTTTCCTCA